TTTTTAAAATGTTAAGTAACTTCCTAGTTTCGCTTAAAAAGTTGTGCAATTTGAAATTATTAGTTAATAACAAAAAACGCCCCAAGTTGGCGCTCTGAACATATACCTATATAAGCTGCCTTTTTCATTGCTTACCATTCACAAAAATGAATGAGAAAGACAGCTAAAAATCTAACGCCATGGTGATAATTTTGGTTGTTCGCTTATCATTATAAATATTTCAAACATGATTTTACAAAATATTTGTTTGGTTTTTATAATCATTTGTTCATTTAAAACTATGTAATATATGGATAAAATAAGAGATCAGAAATTTTCGTAAAAAATTTTTATTGCACAAATGACTAGGTATGTCAACATTATTAGAAAAATTCATGGCTGTGATTTTTAAAAAAGAAACAAATAAAATATGTTAATACAAAAATGGCTTTTGCAGAATATAATTTTCTTAATATTTATTAGAAATAAGTTACTCGAGTTATAAAAAATTCTCGCACACATAAAATTATAACATTATCATTCGTGCGTCACTTTAATCTTATAATTATGTGCTTAGTTGCCATCTATTATCATCGTATTAGTTTGTCCATTCTTATAAAGATAAAAGCAACTTTTTCACATACCTATACACACAAACGTGAAAGTACCTCTGTTTTTATTTATTTTTTATATTTCAAAACCTCGTTTCAAAATTGTTTTGTGCGTTAATAGCAACTGAGAATCCAGATCAGTTTAAACACTGAATTTATCATGGAATAAACTCTTCAATTAATCATACACCAACATAGCAGAGAGGTATAAATTAAATAGGTATAATATCTAGGTATATTTTTCTATTCCGGTATTTTAAGAGGTCTATTATAGCAGTGTTTTATTTTAATTTATGAAACCAACAATAGCTATTTGTTGCAACTCGGGAGGTATTAACTGCAATTTTTCGTCACTATTTTTTTATCAAAACAGTCAACCAGGGAAAAGACAACTCGACAAACTAGTTCGATTTCGTTTTAAAATTTCAAGTTTCAAACCTCAATGTCACTAACAGATGCTAGACACACCAAAAATAATTTGATTTTTGATAATTTCTTTCCTGAAAAAAAATCTCTCTAGAAAAAATAGTGAAAAACACAGTCAGATCAGTGTTATCTTATTATTATTCTTTTTTAATATTCCTACCAAGACGAAAATATTTTGACTTTTAGCTGGACACTGCGCTACAGATTAAACTAAACAGCGAAACATGATTTTTACAACTACCAGCACAAAAATTCAAACTTAAAAGGGCGGCGTAACTTCGAATTTGTCCTCTCTACTTTGATTCAAGATTTCAACAATTAGAACAGGTAATTTGAATTCTTCTTGGAAGCTGGATACATTAGCAGATCAATAGCCAGTTTCTCTCACGTTATGACCATTTACATTTATTATTCCATTCGGGAAATTTACGTTTATTCATTTTTAGATTTAAAGGTATAATATCGGGCGAACATCAATTCCAGCCCAAAGTCATATCTCGTTACACAGGTTCCTGGAGTGCGTTAATCCGTCACCTTAACTTCCGGTCCAATATGATAAAAGCACCCATTGCAAAGTTTCCATATATTTTAGCCGTCCCTTTGTGCATATACAAAACAAACGTGAAACTAAATAAATCAGAAAGTAGACGTATAATAAGTAAAGAAGTTAGACAAAACCCTAATTGACATTTGTCGCAGTGATAATTTATCACTTCGATCGAGAAACAAAATCGCACCCCAGGTGTCGAAGTAGTAAACGTCCGACCTGGAACGGAGTTGAGGTTCTCCGATAATATCAAAAGCACATATTAACATTTTATAAAAATTATTTTGTATAAATTTTAGTTTTTTTCCTCAATTTTTATGACGTAACAACATTTGAATTTGAACTCTATAGTTACATTTTTGGGGATTATTTCTTGCAGCACTTTTTTATTATTTTATATGGTAGAACATAATTATTACATTTTATTAAACTAACAAAATATAATCATTTTCTACCATTTAGTTAGTAATATCGTGCAAAGTAATCAAAATTTTCATATTTCGTGCCGCAGGTAGGTATATGAAGGTATGACAAAATATTAGCTATCTATATTAATGCATGGAAGACAAAAATTAACATAGCTTTATCAGCGTCACTAAAACCCAGAAGCGGTGCTGATTTTTGTCTAAAAATAGGTAAAATATTTGGAACATCTGTAGGTATATTTTGTTTGGGTATTATTTTCGTACGATCTGTTGCAATCATATTACGAATCATTTCACATTCAGATTATTGACTTTACGTAAACACATTTTGGTTATCATTCATTTCGATTTGCCTTTCTTTTTTCGTGCATGATAAAACAGGTAATAAAAAGTGATATTCTATTAAGATTAAATATGTTTGCGTATATTATCCAGGAATTATTATTTATATGCAATAACTCCGACGTTTAAAAGTAAAAAAAATTAACTGACTGATTAATTAATAAGATATTTTCTGTAAATTTCATTGTAATCTGTAAGCAGGTCCATACAATACATATACTTATTTAAAACCGGTTAACGGAACCATAAATTTTAAATAATTTGTCACATTTGTCATAAAATGAAGAACAAAAATCACGGTTGTCGTGATTTGTACATTGTTTTATACAGACGTCATTATAATAACTATACCTATCTTATATTGCTTTAGTATAGATAAGAAGTTCGTTCATGATACTAAAAATTTGTTTGAAAAATTAGTGTAGTAAGTTCTTAGCTCCTCAAATTATTAACTTGACTGATTTCTAATCAACACTTACAGTCAGTCATCATCATATAGGTACAAATTATTTGAACGGTGTCTGTAGGTGGAACATTACGCAATTATCTTTTTTACCCTGTATTACGGAACTACCTTATTTAGGACTAACTACAGTTTATAATTACTTTCATATACACATTTAAAAGTTACACAATTTTGTTAAAAAAACACACTATATATTTTTACTAAATTAAACTCATTTCGGATACAACGGTTTTCAAAATATGTGAATTTTTTGGAAAAAACGAGCTTATTATATACCTACAAATTCACAGCTCCATCATTTTTGAACATAAAGGTTTGGAATTTTGCACAAAACTTTATAGCCATCACCTTACCGTAACATAGGTATAAAAGGTTGAATAAACTTTAAACTTATTATTAAATATTACCTACTAAATTTGCAAAATGCCACTTCTCATGTTTTTCAAATAAGTAGGTACAACAGATTTTATAATATTTGCAAACTTCTTTTCAAGCATACTTTCTCTTAATACTAAGTGTGTCTAGGTTCATCAAAACAATAATTTAAAAAAAAAATTTCAACAAAATTAGGTAGGTATAGGCAGGTATGGCAAAATTGAAGGTTTTTCAATACGACAATTTTTTTTTACGTAAAAACGAAAATATGCTGAATATGCTTTATATGATACAATTTTTCTCCAAAAAATCTAAATCTGTGGAAATATACTGGATGTTACCGTTAAAAAATTTAATAACTAAAAATAATTTTAGAACTTTATTTACTTTTTGGATTACTACAAAACAAACGCAGTTCAACTGCTTTATTTAGGTACTCCATAGTTTCAAAATAAACTCCTAATATTTTTATCACTTATATCTATAACGATCATACCTATATAATGAGCTTTAATTGAAAAAAGGTATTAGTATTTTTTTATTTATGTATTTGAAAGCTAGTCACCATAAATGTAACGAAATAACACAAATTAACATATTACAATAATAATTAATTGGGTTTTTTTGTTGTTTTTTTTTAATCCATAATGAAATATGTATAAAAATCACTTACCTTCAGTGACTTCTAAGAACGAAGTGTTCGAAAAGAAGTAGACAATAAAGAACACAAAATTTAACATTATTGCGTTTTACTAAATAAATGTGACAAATCCATGACTTAACTTCACTGTTAACCAAAATTGTGAGCAACTACTCGTATTAAATTAACTTTGTATTACACATATCCGTTTGACTGGGTGGTGAGTTCATTCCACAGAATAGAATTAACAGAATATGCTGAATATGCTTTATATGATACAATTTTTACAATAATTTACAATTTTTTGTCAATAATTTTGACACAAAAGCATATATTTTTATAAAGCCTTGTTTCAGGACTGTGTTTTCTTTTACTAATATGTTGTGAGTTTAATAGTTTGAAACCACACTCTAAATACATAAATAAACGCTATATGTGAACAAAAATTACACTTCCCTAAGTTAAAACTTGGTCACAGTAAATGTTTGAAAATGGATTGCAACTAATTATGGCATTAAACGTAATCTCTGGAAACAGAAAATATAATTTTCGTTGTAAGTAAGTGCGATTTCATTATCACAGAACAGATCAAAACATAGAACATTTTACAGTTTTAACTTTTTGGCACCCTTATTCAAATTTCAGTATGTAGTTTTTAGGTAAAGCAAACAGTATCTATTTTTATTCAATAACAAAAACTGCAAACATCATTTTGTGGAAGTAAATGAGCTGAACATGCAGAAATTGCACCAAATCGTATGTACGCAAATGGAAACAAACTTTTATATTTTTATGCATATCTATATAAAAAACACGATGTATTTTTTCACAGTTATATATGAGCATGTTAATGTAACTACCTTTAAATTATGAATTATTATGCTATAAATTTAAATTAAATCGTTATATTTTGTTGCTTTTCCAATGTATAAATTTATAATTTACAACTGGCAGTTGCAATCATGAGTACCTATAAGAGAAATGAAATAAATTATGTGGAAAACTATACCAAACGAAACCTTAGTTTTGTAGTTTTAGAGGAACATATAAGAAAAATGACGTATTTTTAAAGAGATTTGAACATTTATTATGACAAAAAGTCAATATACATGTACATCATATACATTTCTATTTATTTTATGTACAAATTTTGGTTCGCAGTTGCACATTCCTTATATAATTTTAAAAACTTTTAAAAATATTCCTAAGTACTCGAATGATAGATATAATACAAACTGCAAATACTGCATAAAATCATATTTAAAACATCACAAATTTTTAAAATTTATAATACATTTATTACAATAATTTTGTACATAAGTTTCAACAAATTTTACAAAACAGTAGAAATAAAAAAGTAAAAACAATAAAAGAGTAAGAAATAAAGCCAATGCATCATCAATAAATATTTCGTTAAAAAATTTTGCAGATCGAACGTAAGCCTGAGATTTCACCGAAATTAACAAGATTTTATTCAAACCACTCGCGCCACATTAAGAACATCTAAGCAAACAATATTTTAAAATTGAGTGCCTCAAATTTGCGTCAGAACACTAAAAAAATCTATGGTATTTACACTGCACATAAAGTAAAAATTTACATCAGATAATATTTACAGCATCTTGCGTTATTCGAGAATTTTTCTTACGCCAGGGGATACTGTCACAAGCTGGTCGTGCCCGTCGAGGTGTGATATAAAGGACTATTGTAATAATCGTTGCCTATCGTAGAATGGGTATGCATCGAATTGGGTAACGGACTCAGAGTGTTATATCCGGCGTACTGATGCATCTCCGTGTACATCTTAATATCGGGTTTACTTTCGGCAGGTAGAAGCCTATTTATGGAAAAGGGGTGATTCGAGGAGGTAAAGCCCGACGGTTCCTGTTTGAGGTGATGAGTCATGGAGCTGTGGTGCAACATAGCCTGGTGTTCGCTCGATATACTTAGAGGATGACACCGATTTACCATTGCCGTCAATTCTTCGTGCGACATGTTTTGTTGATGATGTTGTTGATGCATATTCAGATCATTCGTATGAAGAAGATTCATCTGTTCGACGTCTAATTTCGATGGATGGATGCTCAACATCGAGCTTAAAGCCCCATCGGAGTTCTTATCTAAATGATGCGACTTGTGAGTGTCGTCGCCGTGTTGTAGGGGAGTTTTCTTCTCTGAACTGTTGCTATTGTCGACCGAATGTGAGGGACTTTTATGTGTTTGCCTGAGAATTTCCTTCTTCTCGTCTTTGAACCGCTTTTGCCGTCGGAGGTAACACCCGTTTTCGAACATATTCCCCGAATCTGGGTGTAAACTCCAAAAGGAACCCTTCCCGGGCTTGTCGGGAGTTCTGGGGACTTTGACAAAACAGTCGTTGAAAGATAACGAGTGTCGGATCGAGTTCTGCCAGCGTTGTTGGTTTTGCCGGTAGAATGGAAACAAATCCATTATAAATTGATAGATCTCCGACAACGTTAGCATCTTCTGCGGGCTGTTCTGGATGGCCATGGTAATTAAGGATATGTAGGAGTACGGCGGCTTCGCGTGGGTGTAACTGCGTCGGTAGGTCTTGTCCGCCCGAGCCCGCTGCAGGGCCGAGTTGGGGGAGGTGTCGCCGCCGCCGAGGTCGCCTCGACCCAGCGTCCCGACGGTGCCGTACGTGTTCATGGTGCCTATGGGGGTGGCCATGCAGGCCGCGTTCATATTGGAGATAGGGGAGCCGATGGTCGTGTAGCCCATCGACGAGGAGGACATCCCGTTGCCGTTCATCGCCATGCTCCCCGCCATACCTGAGTTGAGCATGCTGGAGCCGAAGGAGGCCGCCTGTGGGGAACAATTCATCGAGGGCATGGAGACGCAAGACATGGAATTCATCGAGTATGTGGGCGTCATCGGCGACATGGCGTTGGACGACGCCGCCATCGTCGTGGAGTCAGAGTACAGCTTCTGAGTCAGCATTATAGCATTGCACTGTTATTGCACTTGGGGACGCACTGCACGCTGTCAGTACACACTAAACCGGGATCAATCAATATGATCTTAACTCGTCATCGGAGGTTTTGTTTCATTGTTTACATCACGAGCGGATCCACAAACAAGTTAACACTTTAGGTATTCCAAACCAGCACTGATTGGAAAAACAAATACTCCTTGCTGCCTGTTTACTTAGATACTACAAGCCGATGTGAAGTACCCTGAGCTTTAGGTAGTCAAATACAGAATCGTCAGGGGAGGGTGGTCGCCATAGTAACGCGCGAACCAATCAGAGGAAAACGCCGCAGTCGCCATGACGACGGGGGGTCTAAACATCGCGCGCATTGGCCGAATCCGACTTCTATCCTGATGTAAGTTGAGGGGAAACAATTATACGCCCATATATGTCACGCCGCACTCCGACCGATCAAGGAACTAACTTTCGATTCCACTACCCGCTGACCGTCAACTGTTTCAATCCTTAGTACAATCTTCACTTGCTTCGGTTTCAAATTTTTTCTAACGATTTTTCACAATAAATACTACTGGAGTTGGCATCAGTGTTTTATTTTGTTTGTGTGGTTTTTATTACAGTGGATTCAACAGGTAATTTTTATCGCAAATACAATAGCTAATACGTCTTGCATAATGGTTAAGTTCTTCAAGAAGCTCGTTTTTCAGTATTCATTTTCCAAATTTATGTATTATTTTCTCCGACCGTAAGTAAATAAGTATAAAGACTTTATAACTTTAGTCGTAGTTGCGGTGTTTTTTCTTTGGGAATAATTTAACTAAGTACGTCATCGAAAACTTATCTCTTATTACGCACCGTCGCTGTACGTACAAAATTAAAATTTAATTTGTAATAAATAACTAATAATGATACTGATAATGTCATTTAGCGTCGTAATTTTTTTCTGTAAACTTCCACCGAGTAGTAAATAAATTTGTTGCACAAATATTTACTTAATTGAGGAAATTTTATTTTTAGTGTCTATATACTTAAAGAGTCAATGAGATAAAGTTCATGTTTTGTAAATATATTGATATACGTAGGTATACTGTTAAATAAAGCACGTGATTTTCGAATTCAGTGTTCACTTATCAGCGGAATCAGTCCTCAAAATTTAGATTGTAAATAAAATTCACGCGGAGAAAAGTATGTTTTATCTAACGGATATTTTACTTGTTACTAGTAACTGAATATTATATAATATATAAGTTTATTTATTTATAAACATATTTACTTAAATAGATAGGTACACATTTTTCAAAATATCCTCCATACAAACTTGCAAACGTAATGAAAAGAAAATCTACTTGCTCTTTCTGAACGCAAATGACAGATACAATTCTTATTTATTCTATTTGTCATAATACCTACCTAGATAAACAGGGTATAAATTAACTTTTTTTTTCACTGCGAGGAACACAATAAATACTTAACGTCATACACATTACATTATTATTAATTAAATGTGACGCTATCGAATAACGAAAAATTAAATGAAATTATTGGAGGCAAAATTTCTAGGTATTTTGATTTGTTCCATTATTGAATGGTGAAGTGAAATTGTAAGAATAAAGTTTGCTGATGATAAATAGTGCTATAAAATCCCTCGGACATTTTTTTTTTTTCATTATTACGAATACTATCTATACTTAGTAATGCAGGTATCTATTTTTTTCATTCAATTGATTTAACAACAAACTAACACCACTCCAAACTGAAGTAACGTTTAGAATATAATTTGCTCAGAAGAGTTTATATTGCCTTAAAAATAATCACTAAGTTATACAATAATAAATCACTTTAAATACAGTACATTTATTATAAAATTTTTAAATGCTAAAAATAAGCATAGGTATATTGATTTGTTGCTTTACATTTCCTCATGATATCTTTACATATTTTCTTATCCTCTTTCAAAACTGTTAGATACCTCACAAAAGAATAAATTTTCTACTATATTCCCAAACATTTTAATTAAATGGAATTACAATTTGATGTATTATATACAGGGTGATGTACGTAACAAATATACTTAAGGTATACCTAAGTCTGAAAAACTTTTAGTGGAATCATACACATTTTTCCAATTTGGTTTTGTGTTTAATCAGTTAGTGGCGATGAATTTTTAACGAGTATGACAGAGTTGACAAATAAAGCGGTGTATTTTATTTATATTTTTTTCTAGGATGTAGTAATTGGTTATACCTAGTATTGTTATACTGTATTCAAAATACATCGCACCCGTGCTCCAACGTGAATCACCTTGTATATTTTAGAAATGTATTATAATATACATTGGGAGAAATTTTCGCCTCTATTTTTTAATTTAAAAAACATGTACCTAACATATCATATTGAAAAAACAAATATTGGTATAATTCTATGATTTCTCTGCAATACATAATTTTTTTATTATTATTATTATTTTAAACCTGTCACTGAACCGGACATGTTCGGCGTTCAGGCAAGACCTGTATCATTACGGATACTAAGACCAAGTACCTAAAGATTAAGTTAAGAAAACAACTTTCAAGATCCTAGAATTATTATTATTACTGTTTATTATTGTTCAGTGTCCAACGGGTATGAGCCCAATTATCTTGCACCTTCTGATACTTCTGTTACCGAAGTTCTGAATTCTTTTTCTAGGTTCAATACTTTTGAAGCATTAAAAAAAATCACATTTAATGATCTACATATAAGTATTATAATAACAGATATTATTTATAACAACTGTAAAGTAAGTATCTACCTATAGTAAGTAGGTATCTACTTATTTTTTTTTATTTAAAAAATTGTCTATACATATATCTACTGATGCTCTGTGAAAATGTTACAATCTTATACTTAGTATATACCTTACAATTAAATAACATTACATCCGAGCACTCTTTTACACCTTATCAAAGTGCTCCAGAAAGTACATTAATTATTCTAAAAAGAATTGCTATGACGGACACGGAGAACCAGTTCTTAGGTTGATGTGTATTCCGAATGTAGAATTCAGATATCATAACAAAGACGAAGATAGTCAAAAAACGAAGAAATCTGCATTTTTGTATTCTAGAAGCTGTGAAAAATCAAAAACTAAAATAAAACATTCCTTAAATGATTCTATTATAATGTTAACTTTGTCTATCCTTCAGAAAACTTACTATCATAGTTATTCTATAAGTTTTTACTAGTAAAGTTTTGAATCGAGGTTATAAGTATAGGTAAATATGGAATAAATAAAATATAAGTAAGGATTCAATAACGAGAAAAACTATTACTATTTAAAAGGTGATTGAACGTAAACTCAAATTATAGAAAATAGACATTTAGATACTAAGAAGACTGCACACTGATCTAAAAAATAAGACAAAAGTCAAATTGTGATCTGCTAAAAATCACTATCTAGTTATGACCGTCGACCGCAGACAACAAACAAGATGCATTGTGAAGTGGACAGCGTGGACCGTCGGTTACCAGACGGTGAATATTGGACTTTAGATATCTCTGAAACCAAAAGAAAACTTGCAAGTGTTCTTTCTATGAAGCGATTCCTGGCAGGAGGCCAAAAGTGAAAAGTAATACTTAGTTAAATAGCATGACCAGAAGCATTTGTTCCCGAGTAAGTAGTAAGCCATAAGCAAGCAAAAATAAAGTCAAAAGGTACCACTAGATTTCGAAATTCATAGGTGTAACTTAACACATTTCCACTACCTACTTTGCTTTCACAAAAAAAAAACAAAAACAAAAGTAGAAATGTTGTTCTCTATAAAGAATTTGTAAGTCCACTGCACTATATAACGGGGCCACATAGAAATTACACTGTTTTAATTCTTCATTGATATGCAAATTATTCGTTGTGTACATAACTGCAGTGAAATGTTTCAAAATTAGATTAGGTATATGTGAACCAATTAGTAGCCTCATATTTGTAAAATGACGTATGTATAGCTAGAAGAAGTAAGTATAAAGACATTTTGTGGTACAAAGCAACAATAATTATAAGTGGGTATGTATTTTTACGTTTATCTCATCAACAAGAACACATTCGTGAACTTAACCCTAAAACATATCAACAAAACAGAATGTGATATATAAAACCCAGAACTGAAACCAAGATTTTGGTGAATCCCTTCATGAATTCAATTCTATCTACTATTTAATTTCAATTGAATTTTCAAGGATTCTGAGGACACTTAAAAAGCAACACATTTCTTAGAGGACCTTAGAGATCCAAAACTAAATTTAAGCTGGAAACTGTGAGGCTATAAACTCATGCAATCCATTCATTTTGCAACACTACTCTGAAATACAGGATTTTCTATATAAATAGACATCTGTCTTCTGTTCTCTCATCGTTTGACTTGAAATTTGTACGTTCCTTGAAAATTCTTTGTTATAGTTTTGGAAATTTCCTTCTGCCCTATAAAATCTTATTGGTAATAACGAGACGGACAGTAGTACAATAGCAAAAGATATTTACAACTTAAACTTGTCGCGTGCCGGTAATCCCCAGATGTTAGAAAAGAGAATAACCCATGTCCGGACGAAAATGCCCATTATTTAACTACCTGCTAAATGTTCTCCGTCAAAAGAGGTGTCCGAATTGCGCACATGACCTGAAAAAGATAAGAGTTGCGCCCTTTATCGCTCGGAAAATGTCCGAATTGCGCCCATTACCTGAATGCTCCCTTACCACTTTCTTAGACCCTTCAATCCATTGGACTTTTACAACTCCAGAGCTTCGGTAACCGTACTATAGAGTAGAACATGCGCAATTCGGACTTTTGTAGGTCGAAAATTCAGGTAGCGGGCGCAACTCGGATACGTCCCCGACAAATTCGGGTGAACCGGTGTGACCCATAAATACTTCTTACCATTGTACTACTGTCTGTCTCGTTATTGTCAATAAAATTTTATAGGTTAGAATGAAATTTCCAAAACTATACAAATTTCTGAAGTGCTTAACTGCCCCAGATATTTTTAAATTCTAAGGTGGTAACTATAGTTTCAAATTTTGTACAGCAAACGAATCGCGTCAAGTTTCATTGTAAAGCTCTTTTGAATTTGAATACTTCCACATAATTTTATTAGTCTAGTAGGTATACTTACTACACTCAAATAACTGGGTGTATACACTTAAAGCTAGGTATAATCTCACTTTTCACTTCCCAACTGTAAGCTAAGAAAATATTGTATTCATATTCTCTCGACGTTTCA